TCATCTGATCCAGGGGCCAGTGCTCTGCTGGGTCCAGCCCAGGAAGAGCAGGAAATGGATGAAGAGAGCGAAGAAGCTGAGGCTGAGCCTTCTCAATCCTCCTGCCCTGCGTATGATGAGCTTTTAGAGGTTATGGATCGCGTCACGGCGAGGCTTGACTTGCCGTGGAAGCGAACTAAGGAAATGTGCGGTAGGCCCTGTGTGACAGGCCAAGACTAGTATGATTCTAGGCTCTTGGTCGTATTCCCTTAAAGGAATCTATTCCTGATTCCAAGCCTTGAGCTCTACCCCGGGCCCAGGAGTCTGGCCCTAACAGGTAAGTATTTTGGGGTATGTAGCCTAGGCCTTTGGCCGTAGGGAATAACGTCACTGACAGCCGTCTAACGTCCCAGGGGCGACTCCCATAGTGATATGGTAGAGTTGGTACTTAGTGCTCGCCATGGTTCTGGCATGCACTCCCCTCAGCATGGTGGCGTAGGTATACCGTTCCCCATAGCGACCCCTAGAGGACGCAGTTCGAAGTTCCCATGAAAGGGAACGTCTCAGGTTACTTATGTAGTAAGTAACTACTACATAAGTAGTAGGGAACGAGACACTGCGTCCTCTAGGTTTCTTGCCATGCTGCGGACGCAAGCTTCAGACGAAGAAGTGAATGACGTGTTCTCCCGGTGCCTATTTATACTATAGTCGCACCGGTAGTGACATCATGGCTGTCGCCGGCCAACGAGTTGGTGTTTTTCAATGTGTGCTTCAGACATGGGTCATGACGAGGCGTTCCCCATAGCGACCCCTAGAGGACGCAGTGTCTCGTTCCCTACTCAGGGAACCATGGTTACATAAGTAAACTGAGACGTTTGCATCACTGGATATTAACATTTTTAATGTAAAACAGCTGTTAAATATTAAATGTTTTGCTCGTTCTATCTAGAGCCATTGAAAAATAGAGTTGCAGCACTTCCATATAAACTGAGGAATGAAAACTCAAGCTTCTGTGAACCGTAAACTCCCGCCTACTTTGATTTGATTGGGCATCTCAATCATTTTGACATTGACTAGTATTGTTAGACTACTGAGGCAGACCGGCCTAAAAATTTAACTTTTAAACCTTTTTGTCATCCTAACAACAAACAGAGCGCTGCATAATGGAGTGCAGCAGAGCACAGTACAATAATTTCAAATTCTTGGGGGTAAATTCTAATTATTGGGTCTCCCTCACTAATTCACTTTTAACTATGACTTTTCCCTCAATAAACTCCTAATTTAATAGTTAATAAGTTAGTTGTTAAGTTTAGGTATGGGGTCGGATTAATAAAGTCATGCAGAATAAGGCATTAATATGTGCTTTATAAGTACTAACAAACAGCCAATACGCTAATATGCATGCTAATAAGCAACTAGTTAATAGCGAGAATAGGTCCTTAAAATAAAGTGTTACCGAAAATTCTGATATAATTGATAAAACAGAATAAAATTGCTTTTGATAATCAAGTGATGTAGCCAATCAACATGCACATAAAGAAATACAGAATCATTTAGAATTGCTTAAGTCTTTTTTTCCTAATGCAGTGGTCAATTAAAGTAACATGCCTTTATTTTATAAATCATCTGCAGCATTACACATTTTCATTGTAATATTTACTATTGTTGTTGTACAAGAGGCCAGCCATGGTCTCAAGAACCTTTTTTTGAAGGCCTCGTTCTTGTCTTGTTAAAATGTCCACAAAATTCAATATCTGATTGCCAAAAATAAAGAAAATAAAAAACCCAACAACAACAAAAAAACTTATAGAGTATGAGATCGGTACATACAATATAATAAAGCAATAGCACAAGAACAACACGAATATGAGCCAGGCCCAGTTCTTGACAGCCATATCCTGGGTGGGCATTTAGATATTGCTATATTAACTATGCAACTTTATTGCAGTGTTGCTGATATATGTACACTGAATAAAGACCAATCATGCTTTCATGGATAGCCTAGTGGACCATAGAATATCATGCTCATTCCCAACAAAATAACCTTTTTTTTTTTCATACAAAACAAGGCCATAATCATGTTTAGAACATTGAGGGGACAGATTGTTTTGAGGAAAATATAAATAAAGACCAGAACTCTATGGTAATTGTATTTATTTAAAGAAATTAAATGAAGATTTAAATGGATTTAGGGGAAAAAAGAAAAAGAAAAAAAATGAACAATAAAAGAACAAGAATAAAAATAAAAATAATTGATCTGAACTGCAAATTATATTTTTATTTTACAGTATGCACCCATTTCATTTTTATTAGTATTCCTAATACACCGAAAATGCAAAACTGAAAAATGCTCGTCTCATTGTATTCAATCATAAATTACATGAATTATGTAAATGACAGCACTACTTTCAATTCAAAACGACATTTGCATCACTGGAAATTGTTGGTCATTTATGTTAGTGTAAAACAATTGTCAAATATTACACATTTAGCTCACTGATCGATATAAATGTTTTCTGTTATAGATCAGTGGTTTAGGTACTGTACTTATCCTTGATAAAATATTAGATGTGTAGATTATAAGCCATTTTTTATTAATACTTCAGAACATAAAAACACCTCACCCCAGAAATCAGTAGCAGTGCAGTTTACATATACTTGCAGTGTAGAAAACTTGTTTAGAAAAGGCTGTTTAACATTTAATAAAGTAGACTATAGTTTATGAAGTAGCTGATTATGCATTCAAAGTATCTGTGCCACTGGAGCTGTGTGAAGATGTAGCTGCTGAGAGAGCGCTGGCTTCAGATATGTTGTGCATATCTGCAAATAGACATTTGCACATTATTTAAATTATTATTGTCTATTGTCAACAATGTTGATCTACTAAAGCTATTTTGACTAAATAAAAGTCTGTATAGTAAAATATGTAAACAATTGTATCCATTTCAATAGTAAGACTTACTTCTTCTCCGCATCCTTTGAAAGAAACCCAGTCCGCTTGAAGATGATGGTCCTGCACTAGTACTCTGTAATTTAAAGATTTAAGATATCAGCTGTAAACTGAGCACATCTATCATCTGGTAGCATAACTGAAAGAGTAAACGCCAACTGTAAGATGTTTAGCAATATCTCATGGATCGTATGCATTGTTTTGTTAGTATTTACCCTGGTACGGTTAGAGCTGGTAAGGTTCCTTAGTGACAGTCTTCCTGCCAGAGCCTCACGGATCTGCAACCATATAGGACAAAACGGGTTAAAGCACTGAAGAAGTACTGAATGACCCAAAAATAGTTTCAATAAAATGATTCTGACAAAATGTCTTGTCAAATTGTCATGAAACAAAAATTAATTCATACCTTGCTGTCTAAAAGCGTTCCAAACACCAAAATAAAGAATCCCTGCACAAGTGATACAAATATATGAGGAAATTGTTATAAGTAAATAATACTAGTTGTTATTCAATTTCATATTAATAACAAAGAAATATCTTATTTTGCATGATAATACGCTGTTGTGAGGTTTTATAATGGATTGTTACAATAATAGAATATAATAATTAGTAGTATGTAAAGAAAGTAGTACCTGCAGTGAATTGAGGAGTGCAAACACCACATGAATGCCTAAATCTTGTGACACCATGGTTCCAATGCCAAATCCCCATGTTAGACCAAAGATAGGAGTTAAAATGGCCACACATCTGGCAATGACCACCAGGGCATGTTTCTCATCTGGTTGAGTTGCGGCACCAACTCCTCTCCTCAACATCTTGTACAGAACCACAATCAAAACTACAAGGTTTATGGCTACAATAGTGAGAGCCGGAATCACAAATGCCAGCAGGGCCTTTGATTCGTTCCAGTTCAGCCAGCATGCATTTCTTTTGGAAATATAATTTTGAGGTCCAGCTGTTGAGGCAACAGTGATGACCGCTATGAGCAAAGGTGCACCATAACTGACTATGAAGGCGATGGCCATCATTTTGGCCCTTGACATTTGAGACAAGACCATGACTGTACGGTAAAAGAGCAACAGTGCCGACATTAACATCCAGAAGAAAAGAGCCAGGTAAAAAAAGTGCATGAAGAAAACCGCTGGACTGCAGCGACCCACTGAGGTTGGCTGTTCTTGTTCTGCGATTGCAGCTCCAATGATAAAACAGATGTTTGCGATCAGCAGGGACACGGCAATGTTGACTATGGAGACATGTCGCATGTAGGATGTGTCATTTCTTGTCATTGACTTCCACACAATAATCTCGATAATGAGGCACAAAATCAAGCTGGCCATCGAGATAGCTACACCAATGTAAGTTATATAGGCTAAGGCTATGTTTTTAATGGAAAACGGTGACATTAAGATTGAAAAAGAGGTTGTGTGGTTGCATTCACATGTAATCTTGCCAGTTTCATTCCCTTTACTTATATAGGGCTTTACTTCACACCCAGTGGAATCCCATGCGTCAAGATTAAAGTTCCAAAAGACACACTGAGAATTTCCCAAAGACTGATCAGTAATGTCAAACGCAAAAGATATGTTGTTAATTGTTTTGTTGTCAATCTTAACTACAACCACATCTCCATTGATGCGCACATCTGATTTACTACTGTTATTACTACTACTGGTAGTAGTATTACGAGTAGGTAGGATTTTGTCAAGAGTTGTGAAGACTATGATGGTTATAGGGGTGGATATAGGAATCTGTGGAATCTCAATCTCGGTAGTTGAGTTTGGCAGGTTTGATATTCCACTATATGAGGTGCTGGTTGTTACAGTTCTATTCAACTCAAGAGATGTTTCATTAATCGTAAAATTGCCATCTGTGAGACGGGCTGTTATGTTCTCAATAGCTCTTAGAAGTGCAGTGCTGGTGTTATCAGTCCTGCTGTTATTGTTCAAATTTTCCCATGAACCAAAGGCCAATTCCGAAACAAGGATATTCACTGTGTTAAGGAAACCCTGGAAATGAAAATCATGTTTAGTAAAAACAATTTTTACAAATATTTTACCACTAAAAATGTTTTAGCCACAATTTGACTGATGTCTTTTGTGCATGCACACTGTAATGTACATACCTCCATCACAAGCTGATTAATGATAATGTTTTGTGAAATATCAGCAACTTTTATAAGTATTTCAACAATTGTTCGGACAGTCACAGGAGACTGTGCTATCTCATCATCATTCTTCTCTGTAGCATTACTAAGCGCAGCCACAAACTCTGGTATGTCCTGCACCACCAAAGCCTAAATTACAAAGTAAATATGAAATGTTAATATCGGAAATATTTTAATCAGACAGTTGATTATTTTTTATTTTTCATAAAAAGATTAAGATTACCTGAACTTCCTTTTCAAGGTCTAAGATAACTTGAAGTATACAGTTTGACTCTTCAGACTTCCATTCACCTGATATACATCTATATTTTATGATGCCTTCCTTGCCTCTTTCACAGGGCCCTGTCAAAGTTTCACCTTCCTTTCCATCTCCAAGCGTTTCATTTTTACAGCTAAACTCTAGAGAAAATATTTGTTTAAGAAAAATAGTTATTTCTTTCAGACAGCTGAAACAGAAAAACTATGTCAAAGGATACCAAAAAAAACCTGAAGGTTCACTCACTTTCGATTACTTTGTTAACTGTAACATTTGAACTACCATAGCTGAAACCTTGAAGCGCCAGGTTCTTGAGTCGACATACAAAGGTTTTACTCCCACAATTTCCGTTTTTGATTATATGATTTAACGTGATGCATCCATCCTCTGATTGTATGAAAAAAGTAAATACAATAATTGAAAACACATGAAAACATGCTGAATTGAACAAAGCAATTCACCGCAACTGAAAACTCCAGTCAGCAGCTTTTGTAAGAATATATTGCCTGTCTGTATGTACAACCTGGAGGTGCCACAACATCATCAGAAGTTGTTTGGGTCCACTCCACACTGTTTTTTTCTTCACAGCATTTCAGTGAAATAGTCTGGTCTTCACACTGGAACTTTCTTTCATTTTGACCCACTATGATATTGGGAAGTGGTTCAATAACTATATCTTGCCATTGAATGTAAGGTATTGTCCTGTCTATGATACATGTGTATCGACCTGCAAATAAAAAATGCATATATACACAAGTTTATTTATGCATTTATTATTTTCTAAAGCAATAAATTAGACTGGTTTATGTAATTGTATTTATTCAATAACTTACCTACAACTTACTTTCAATAACTTACCTACATATGCTAGTTGAAAGCAATGTATACATAGGCAGTTATGCTATAGCATCATACTAGTGGAACATCATACTAGGACGAGAAATTGTTTTTGCTAGACCACACTTTTTCGTAAAAAGAAAGTGAATGGAATCCAAAATGTCACAAAAGGGACCATTAAAGTTTAATCAAAGTAGTGCCTATGACTTGTGTACTACTGTATATTCTAAAATTCATACCCTCTGCTGATCTCATTCAGCCAGTTCATTTTATTTAACATTTTAAATTTCGGTCTGCTCATCACACAAAACTTAATTTATCAGATGGAACAAAACTGGTAACACTTTATAATAAGTATACACTAATAAAGTACAATACATGACATTTCTCACTAGCGAGGTAATAACGGCGCTCATGATTTTATGTGTAATATAGTTTAGCAAAGTAAAATCTACATGACATTTCTCACTAGTAATAATGGCGCTGTTCTTGAAGCAGATGAACTTCATGAACAGTTTCGCTATTAGTAGAGACGCTGCTGCCGAACTCTGAGATGCACAAACACATGCTTAATCTCTTTCTCTCTCTCTCTCTGTGTGTGTGTCTAATAACTCAATTATTAACTACATTAGTGTCCCTCCTCCACATTATATATAAAATTAAAATGGGATAAAGAATTAAAGACTGAAATACCAGAAACAAAATGGTACGACATGTGGATAGTACACCAAAGTACCACAAGCTCACAAATATCAAAATCAAAAGCAAACAAGTGTCCAGACAGCAGGCTTGCTGGAGACAGTGGAGTTGTGAGAAAATTCACTCTTTTTGGGATGATGTCCATGTAGTTATGTCTGAAGTGTTTGGATATAAAATACCTAGAACCCCTTTGTTTCTACTTATGGGGAATATTAAGGGCATAGTACCCAGAAGTGACCAATATTTATGTAAGATTCTTCTTGTGGCTTGAAAATAGACTATAATGAGGAATTGGCTGAAAGATACCACTTTGAATAGTAAACAATGGTTTGGGATTATTGAAGAAATCCTGGTAATGGAGGAATTTACATATAATCTAAAGATGGAAAAAAAGTGCTTTCAAAATGGACTGTGAAAAATGATTGATATATAAAAAGAATATAAAGACATCTTCAATTAAGTAAAGAGTAATTTTTATAGGAATGGTTAACCTCACCTGTTTGGCTTTGTTTTTCTGTGTTTTATTTTTTATTTTTTTATATATATATGTGTATGTGTATTTTTGTGCACGCTGTGCAACGCATACTCGACATGTTTATGCTATATGTATAATTTTTCTTTTCCCTTCCTGTTAATGTTTTATTTTCATTGTTAAACATGTAAATTAAACTTATTAAAAATAAAAGTAAAAACAAAAATTAACTGCATTATTCTGCTATCAATGGCTCAAGCCTCCTTTATTCTAAAATTACGTTTTGGAATTAGCAACGGAGGTGTTGGATGAGATGCAAGAAATAAATCCTGCACACAAGAGTGTTTTAAGGACAAAAACCTGATGAATGTCTTGAAATACAACATCTGAACAACGTCTTGAGGGGTGGTAACCGTAGTATAAGTGGAATAATTGACTCCAGTCCATTGAATTATTAGAAAATAATGCACACCAGAGGTTTAAAATTTTTGTGTCGTGGTCGCATCACCACCAACACAACACAAGCATGCTGCTGTAGTAAAGCTGCAGCTTTGTCTAAAAATGATATGGTAACACTTTAGAATAGGGAACACTTATTCAATATTAACTACGACTTTTCCCTCAATAAATTCCTCAATAAATTCACTAATAAATGGCTAATATTCTAGTAATATGCATGCTAATAAGCAACTAGTTAAGAGACCCTAAAATAAAGTGTTACCAATGATATTATTTGTGGACACGTTCAAGACGTCTAAAAATTACTTCTTTATATTGTAATTGGAGTTGCTGTCAAGTCAGCATCAGTGCATAAGACAGCAATGTACAGTATAAGACGACAGCCATTTTTAACGAAGTATAAATCTAAGAAATCGCATGTGTATCAGTATATTAGATCTGTGAAACAACGTCTCTTGGGACATGGCGACAACGCACTAATAACGCAACTCAACCAGGTCTTGCCCCCTCTTACTTTTCTTACATATGCCTTGGGCAGGATTTATTTAAATGTGGGATATTGTGATATGTACTTTCCTGGAAGAAAACTCATAGCTACAATCAAGGTGTTTGAAGGAGTTGAAACGGTGCTCACTGATATAGGAAATAACTCCCTGCTGCGGACTACAGTGCTTTGTAACTTTGCAGATCTTTTTCATGCAAAAAAAGCAACATTACGCACAGTTAAAAGTGTAAAAAAAAGCATAATAGGACCTCTTTATTTTAAAAAGTAATCTATTGAAAAAATTATCTGAACTTGATAAATCTGTAAAAAAAAAAAAAAAGATTTATACTTTAGATGGAAAATTCTTTTTGCTTTAGTATACTGTACTTTTAACAAATATATAAAAAAAAAAAACATATATGAACAAAATAATAAAAATAACCAACATGACACTGAGTTATCTGGTAAGTCTGTGCACACTGGGAAACAGATTTGATCAAATATAGATGAAGTAATGCTAATTCTATGCAGTAAACAATATGACATTAATACAACTTACTGTACAACTTTAAACATAAAATTAAATTGAGCTTGCGTTTGTCTCTGCTTCAAAACTTATCAAAACAGAAAAAAAAAAACGTATTGGTCCCGGTTGAAAATGTAAACATGTCAGATATTGGCAGATATATCAGCCTTGGCAATGTAACGGTCAAATACTACTTTTCGCCACCACAATGTGACAATGAAAACATTGAAGGATTATGCTATGATACTGTCATGATGTGTTTTTTTTCCTTCACATCTCATTTTGTAGTCTGATTGCTCAGATCCCTAGTCACTTTCACTGTATGGAAAAGAGTGGTCAACATTTCTTATTTTGTGCTCCACGGAAGAAAGAAACGTTTGGAACAACATAAGAGTGGGTAAATGAGGACCACAACTCAGTGAATACATAGTCTAAGTTGATTATAAGCTAGAGCAATTAAACAAGCCTCATGTTTTAATTATATTCAAGTATAGTGGAAGCAGACCTTATAAACAAAGGTAGACGGTTCCGTAGCTTTGGGCCAGCTAGCACAACAGCTTTAATCTTGACTTTACAGGGACAGTCAACATGTAAGATATCGTTGATAGAACAAAGATATGTGTGACTCACCTCTGTCATGCACACTGACGCTCTTCACAGTGAGAGTGCTACTGTCAGATGAAATAAAGTATTTATTGGTGTTTAGTGGAGGATCTTCGTTCACTGTCCATCTCATTGTACCCTCAACAGAATCTGGGCGTATGCATTTTAGCACCATATTTTGCTCAGGATACCATTTTTCTGCAGTGGACAGGTTCTTTTGTTCTGAAAGTAAAGTCCACAAACCATATTTTACCTGTTTTATATTTAGTATGGATTTGCTGGTTCTTTAACATTTCTAAAAGTAATATTAATGCTTATAACAAACCAGAATTTTGTAAGCAACAGATTGTAATCAATAAAAAAAGATGATAAAAAAAAAAAAAAAAAAAAGTAAGATTAAATACTGACTAGCCTTACCACTTTCAGCAAAAGCATTCGGAGGTACAGTGAATCCTTCTCTTATGAGAATGTTGCCGACCTGTTTGTTTGCCTCTGCAAATTCAGGGCTGTTGGGGCTGCTGGTTGTTGATTCAAATTCATAGTCTGCTATAATGCTACCAGGCCTATGGAGCAACACAAACCACAACAATGAGAACGCACTGTTTTAACACAAGAGGTAAAAAACAAAATCAACCTTTTAAGTGAAAGACCTTACCTAAAAAGAGTAACTTTTACTGAACCTTTTTTATAGACAGGCACATTTTTGTAACTTTCTTCAATCTGTACAGAATAACAAATGTACATTAGGAAGTTTACCTTACCTATGATAAAACTGAAATAAAGGTATGTCATTTTCAATATGAATTACTCTATGGTAAGAACCAAAGATATATAGATGACACCTGAGCATACAGAAAATGATATTTGGGCTGCTTTACTGTCAATAAACAGACTGTATCTTTATTGACTGTTTATTATTTATCTAATGTGATTTAGAATGACAATAATTCAAATATCCTCAGGAAACACAAGAAAGATTAAGTAAAATAAACATATTAGACAAAAAAAAAAAAAAAAACTAAAAAGGTATACTCTGCATTACAAACCTTGTAATTATAATTTGCACAGTATTTGTTAAATTAAGCATAATCGATATTTTTTTTATTTACAAAAAAATGAAACTACTCACTGCTGATTCAATTTTACTGGCATAGCGTGTGAACATCTCATCTTTGTTGTTGTTGAGACTGGTATCAAAAACGTCTTCTAGTCTCATTGACATCTGAAGAACTGTTAAAAAAAGAACATTTATTCATCTGTTTCAGTCATATGACTTTTTTCATTCTTCCGCCATATTTATGACCAACAGCAGGGCAAAGTAGAATCTGCTCATGTTCATGAAAATGTTGGCTGAATGGAAATGTCATATGACTGTAATCGCTTTATAGAACAATTAATAATAATACAGTATAATAATAATACAATATCAAATATTAAGGCCTGTTCACACCAAGAACGATAACTATAAATATAACTACATTAACGTTTATTCTAAGTACACGCTCATCTGCCACTTTAAATTCTCGAGCTCGTTATAGCAAGATTGATTCTAACTGGGTGTTTTTATCATTCATTAGCTGGAAAAAAAAATCGTTCTGAAAGTGATTCCAATGATATTGTTTCTCTGTGCCTTTATCGTTATAGTTGTGGTGTGGACTCTATATTCTTTGACATTGAGAATGATTTTTAGAACTATATATTTATCGTTATTTTTATAGCTATTGTCCTTGATGTAAACAGGCATTTAGACTTGCTGGGCTGGGCTATACATACTTGCTGCCACTATTGTCAGTTCAGAATATTTCAGGAAAAAAAAACAAACAAAAAAAACCTTGCCTTACTTCTTTACGATTTTGTAACAGATGAAATTATAAATGTGTTATTAGAGCAGAATGAACAGAAACACATACACAGTGTCTTTGTTGGTCTTGGTTGTGGCTATAATTTGTTTTCCTGAACATTTAAAGCAATAAATCCATTTTAGACATTTTTTTTGTACGATTTCTTGAATTGCATGAATCCCGTAAGCAAATGTACTTTTTATGAACTAAGTTCTGTGCAAAATTAGTACTTGACTTCAAAGAGTTGACTGTACTCATATAAAAATACGAAGCTATCATTGGTAATTTAATAAAATCTCTGTTATATGTCTTGTCATTATATTGGTTTTGTGTGTTTTTTTTTTTTTATAATTACTTCATTACAGATGGGGTTGATATGAAAATGTAAAGATATCATCAATAACTTCAAACTTGCAATAACTGTAAAAAGGATCTATTACACGTCAGTAGTCATCAAATACATTGTGTGGTATGTCATTTTTTTGTTTGTTTTACATTACATACCACATGTTGTTGCAGAAAATTACTTTAAAAAAATAACATTGCAGCTAAAATCTGTGTTGAATTAGTACTTCACTTTATTACTGTAGATGGGACTGATGTCAGAATTTATCATTCTAATAACTGTAAAAAGGTAATATAAGTGTCGTCATCAAATACATTTTCTGGTATATCAGTTTTTTAACAGTACATACCTGTTGTAGGTTTTGTTACTGGTATTACTGCTGAAAAAAAAATGAACCTTTTCATTTTAAAATGTAATATTTATCATTGTAAAATGCAGTTTATTTATTAAAAAGATGACATTAACAATCACATTTTTAAAAATTACAGTCACAATTCTCACTATTAACAAACCATTAATTATGACGTTTGCCTCAATCAATTCCTAATTTGCTGCTTATTAATAGTTAGTAAGGTAGTTTAGGTATTGTGTAGGATTAAGGATGTAGAATATGGTCATGCAGAATAAGTGCTTTATAAATACTAATAAACAGCCAATATGTTAATAATAGGCATGCTATAAGCAGGCAACTAGTTAATAGTGAGAATTGGTCCCTATACTAAAGTGTTACCAAAATTATAGCAGTTAAAGGTACACTAAGTAATTAAATATTCATATTTTGCTACCTATATTTTGTACTCTTAAATAAATACATTTTGTGGTATATCAGTTTTTTTTTTTACCAGTACAAACCTGTTATGTTTGTAACTGTTCTTGTAATAGTAGTAGGTATTGTAATGGTTGTGGTGGTTGTTGTAGTAGTTGTATTGGTTGTTGTAGATGGTGTAGTAGTAGTAGTATTAGGTGCTGTAGTTGTAGTGGTTGTTGTAGATGGTGTAGTAGTAGTAGTATTAGGTGTTGTAGTTGTACTGGTTGTTGTAGATGGTGTAGTAGTAGTAGTATTAGCTGTTGTAGTTGTATTGGCTGTTGTAGATGGTGTAGTAGGTGTTGGTGGTGCTGGTGGCAATGAAAACAAAACTTATCAAATCAATCAAAACAAAAAAAAAAAGAATATGGTTCCACTATATGAACACTTAACATTAGTATCACAATGGTTTTTAAATGTAATCAAGACTTGAGTTTGTTGCAGTGAATCCATCCAGACATGAGCAATTGTAACTTCCAATTTCATTTGTGCAGGTAGAATTTAGACCATATACAGATGGACTGAACAGACATTAATCTAGTGGAAATATTTAAAAATTATATAAAAAATATTAAAAAAAAACATTTTAATGTATGCAAACACCAAAAACTACAAAGACATCTGATATCTCTCAACATTATTCTATACAAGGAAGCAGAAAATACATGTGTCTTGGTTGAATCTATAATTTTTTCCCCCATTTTTTCTGAATCAATTTAAAGGCACAATATGTAAGATTCTTTTATTAAAATATCCAAAAACCACTAGAACAGTGTTATATATTTTGCTGACTTGTGCACTTACATTATCCCAAATGTTTCGAAGAATGTTTAAATCCAGAGAAATAAGCAATTTTAACTAGTTAAACTGACCGTGTCCATAGTGTCATTGTGTCGCCTGCCAATGACATTTTTTTGTAGAAAACATGGAAACACCAAAGACGCTTTAATATGTTGTGCATTTTATTAGACCGCACAAAGTAGCATAATAACAGAACTTTCAAATGTATCTAGTATGATAAAATACTAGTGAATGCTTTTTTCCCCCCACATACGCACGACCGGAAGGAGCGGAAGCGGTCGACTGTGGCATAATAAAAGCTCGGCTGCTTTCGAGCCGTGTGTCACGCTCGTTCAATGGCCTCGTTTCACTTCGATGGCTTTCAGCCTCACCCTGCTTCATTCTACTACGTTAATAAATAATTAGCTCATCCATGAACATGATTTCTGCCCGAGTCCCGTCAGATTGCATCGGCTGTGGGGATGAAGACCACAACTCCCATGATTCCACACTCAGTCACGGTGTCATCAAACTACGCCTTTGTCTATTTGTTTATTTTGAATACGTGCCCTCTAGCGGCGAAAATTTAATTTTGTGCTTTAAGAAATCTTTGCATTTATAACTTAATTAATTGCATGATGCCAACTATCAAATTTATCTTAAAAATAAATAAATAAATAAATAATTTTTTCTACTAAAGTCTGTGTAAAATAGGTACTTCACTTCCTTACAGTTCACTTCAAAATGTAAAAATGTCATTACTTGTACATGTAAAATGTAATTTATTTAAAAACAATCAACTTTAAGCTTAAATTACTGTACATGAGACTTATATCAAAATGTATAATTCTAATAACTGTAAAAAGGCTATCTTATAAGTTTGTTGTCATCAAATACATTTTGTGGTATATAAGTATTTTTTAACAGAACATACCTGTTGTTGTAAGTGTAGGTATTGTTACAGCTGTTGTTGGTGGTACTGCAGAAAGAAAAAAAAAAAATAGATAGAAAATAACCAAATGAACTTTTATAATTTTAAATAAAACGTATCCTAACCTGTTTTTAATTGCTACTGATCCTTGGTCATTTTTTCTTAATAATTGCACTGAATGTTAATTGTTTATTTGGCTGCACATAAAAAGCACTTGCAAAGCTTCTTCATGATAAAACACATGAACTGAAATGAAAAACCATTAATGGGAAAATATGGAACTCTGAATAAATATGCTCTCTTTAAGCAACAGACTTTAATCAACTTAATACTAACATTTACATCTTTTAGCAACACCTCATATTTTGTTTTTGAATACACATATATTGGTAATGTTACTGTTGACACTGAATTAACCAAAAGAAAAAACAAACTAACAAAACAAACTATAAGCCTCTCACTCTACCTTTTCTTTGTCATGATTTGGTCCTATAAGCATTAGCTGTAACTCATTCTTTGGCATCTTTACAATAGAATACTTCATTTACAAAAAACGAAATCCAAAATCATGTGAATACACAGTAAACACAAAACTGATTACAGAATGTACCTGTACATGAGACTTATATCAAAATGTATAATTCTAATAACTGTAAAAAGGCTATCTTATAAGTTTGTTGTCATCAAATACATTTTGTGGTATATAAGTATTTTTTAACAGAACATACCTGTTGTTGTAAGTGTAGGTATTGTTACAGCTGTTGTTGGTGGTACTGCAGAAAAAATAAAAAATAAAAAAATTAGAAAAGAACCAAATGAACTTTTTAAATAAAAGTAATATTTAAATGTATTTATTAAAAAGATGGCACTAACAATAAAATAAAAAAAAATCAGTTAAAGGGATAGTTCACCCAAAAATGAAAATTATCACATGATTTACTCACCCTCAGGGGATCCTAGGCGTATCTGACATTCCTCTTCAGACGAATCCAGTCGGAGTTATATTAAAAAATGTCCTGGCTCTTCCAAGCTGTATAATGACAGTGAATGGTGCCCCTGTTTTTGAAGCTGAAAAAAGTGCATCCATCCATCATAAAACTACTACACACGGCTTTGGGGTGTTAATAAAGGCCTTCTGAAGCGAAACGATGCGTTAGTGTAAGAAAAATATCGTTTTTTTAAAAATGTATTAACTGTAATCTCCAGCTTCCGGTCACTCAAGCAGGCGCGTTTACGATAAGGCGTTCGAGCATACGACGTAGGCGTAGCAGAAGGCGCGATGTAAGCTCCAGGGAGAATAGTGTAGTCTCGCGAGAACCAAGTTTTGTTTACAGCACAGGGAAACCACGTGAACTACATCTGTAGTTTGTGCCGTCGCCGCTGCAGCCTGCTCCATCTCGCGGAGTTCCTGGTCGGTATATTCTGGTTCAAACAAATATGGCTGAGCAAAAACTCATTCTCCATTTGCCTTATATCGAAATCCTCTGACATTTTTGCTTTCTCCTCTGTGCTTCCGCGTTCGTCACTCTCTCCCCGGAGCTTACGTTGCGCCTTCTGCTACGCCTACATCATACGCTCGAATGCCTTGTTGTGAACACTCTTGCTTGAGCGACCGGAAGCTGGAGATTACAGTTTATACATTTTATTTTTAAAAATCTATATTTTTCTTACACTAACGCATCGTTTCGCTTCAGAAGGCCTTTATTAACACCCCAGAGCACGTGGAGTAGTTTTATGATGGATGGATGCACTTTTTTT